CTGCATAGATTTGTGGATTTCAAATAAAGAGTTGTATAAACTGACATTTAAAATGGGAATTTGTTGCCTCAAGTCATAACAAGTCACTAGACTGTGTTCAGTGGCATTTGATAATTCTATTTCTGCTATCGAAGCACTGATTTCATAAATGCAGTGGCTGTAATGTTCAAGCTAAGTATCTCGGCTGAAGTCAGCAATAAATTAATGCTTCAAAAATGAATACATCATATTAGAAAAGTATGTAATATTGATTTCCATTTCCAAATGAAATGGGAAGAAGGGTGAATAAAATAAAATTCAGAGACACCATAGGAATATTAGGCATCTTTGAAATATAAGTGCAGTACTATGTACTTTAAAATGAAGCTATTAAAATTATTGTATAAAAATGTACTGCACTGCCTCTTCTTTACCTCTGAGTAGCTTCAGTTAGATTCAGAAAACTTCTTAACAACCTACTCATGTAGTAATGAAATGGGTGGTTAGGGTGTATGAACAGCTTCCACAGGCGTGAGCTCCCGCCTAAGTCTTTGTACAGTATTCCTATGAACAAGATATAAAAATCTGGTATATTTCCACCAGGGACCATTTACCTCCATCGTTTAAAACCCCACATCCCTTTATAGAACAATATTATTACAAACTTTAGGATAATTAGGATTCAGTATTGCCCTCATAGGCAACTGGGCATGATATATAAACAGCTGTTGAGTTTGTATGGAATGTAGCTAATCTTAAATTTCATAACACATCAGGCTCTGCCTTTCCGGAGAGCCGTTCAAGCTTTTTGAGATGTCTTTCATATTAATTAATTAGATGGAAATCATTTGGGAATGCAGATGTCTATTTGAAAGGTAGGTTGGCATTTTGTAGTCAAAAACATAAGCTAAAATCCATAACCTAGGCAATGGAGGGGGGTGACTTCAGTGGGAAAGCAACACATTTGTCAATCTTTCAAGCAACAAGTCGACTTTGTCAGCAGTAGATCAGACTGGAAGGGTGGTGATTGTAGCATTCTGCCATATAGATGAAAAAGCCATGCTTTCCATTGTCGCTTTGTCCTCAAGTTCCTGTCAACGATTCCTGGTTCTCCAGCTACCTGAGCAAACTGCAGTCCCTCTCCCCACTATGAAAGGCCACTGAAGCATCTCTTGGAATCTGAAGCCTTCCCTGAAATCCCCAGAGACACATGAAAGCCGTACTATTGTAGCCCTGGCTACACAACAGACACCTCTGTTGTGGCTAAGAAGACCTAGTAACTGCAATTGGAGAGGATTTTTTTTTGTCAGAAAACTTTAGGGCAGGGGTTACCCAACCCTTCTGAGCCTGCGAGCACCTTTGGAATTCTGACCCAGGGTGGTGGGCACAGCCACAAAATGGCCACTATGAGAGGTGGAGCCAACCACACACAGAGGAAGTCCAAGCGCAGGGGACAAGGGGAGTACATTTTAAAAACATACTGGGAAGAGGAGTCAGAGAGAGAATAAAAACGACAGTATAGTGGCAGCAGTTGCTGAAAAAAATATTCTAATATATATAGCCAATCAGATCTCCAGTGGTCAATCAGAAGCCCTCCGGGGACACAGCCCCTCTTGTCCCCACCCACTGTGTAAAACACCTGCCAGGAAAAGCGTTGGCAAATGCCAGGGTGCATCTGGGCACCACATTGGGGGCCACTGCCTTAGGGTCTTGAATCTGGAGTCCTTACAAACTACAACCCCCTGCATCTGTAAGGAAGGCCTTACAAGCTGTCACCTGTTGTAAGTCCTCCCTTCTCTTGGTCTCCCCACATCCACAAGGAATGTTTTGCTTGTGAAAGGGGAAGAGATCTGGTTGGCAGTAATCCCTTTGCAAGCAGGGTCTGAACTTCAGAAGGGCTTGCTTCATACTGAGGCGGGATAGCTGATATGAGAGGAGTCAGTTTCCAAGCTCTGCCGGTCTCAAATGAACTCGCGTAACAGTGGAACACAGTGCAAGTCCGTGGTATCACAAACTGCCCAGCAAGATCAGAATTTAAAGAAGAGACCAGAAAACGGTCCTTTTAGCCACTAATGTGGACTACAATTTTAAGAAAGTTGTAGAGAGGGAATAGGTCTGTTTCTTACTTCTTCAGGGAAGAAACATAGTAGGAATCAGCTGCACAGCTCTTCACTATCTATCCAAGTCTGAAACTATCCAAATATCTAAGTCTGGATAGTCTAAGGCTATCTAAATATCAAAGCTAAGAGCCATCTAGATGAGGTCTTGGGTCCACTCCTGGTAGAAAAACACCACATTACTGGCAGATTGTCTTCGCGATGATGAAAAATTGCATTTGCCTTTTTTGATGCTTATGTTTTCTCCTCATGGATATGCTAATTGAAACATTTCTGTGCCTTGCAGTGCTGTATGGGAGAAACATGTGCTGCAATTTCCATGTGTGGTTTTATGTTGTTCTTTTTAATATATTGGCCTTTCATTTCTTCCCCTGTCAATCTGTCATTTTTCAGAGTACTAAATCTACTATTTAAATTAAAAAAGAGTTTTATTGCTTTTAACCACTATCTTTTATGATGGAATGCAGCCAAGAAAAACTGACTGGTGCATCATTCGAAATGGCATTTCCATTTTGCATAAATCACCAAGGCAGAGAAATGTGATTGGGGCTTGCTGGGAATGGATCGATCAGAGTCCAGAAACAACCCTGACAAGCAGAAAAAGCAGATAAAGCTGGAAATAAATCCTTTTTGTGTGTAAGGAAAGGGGATTATAGGATTAGCTTCACATGTTTTGGATCTGAAACTGTTTTTGTTTTATATCATTACAAACCTTTTATGGACAAATTGAGTGGTAAAGAGAAAAGCAGAGGATTTTTTAAAAAGCCATAATTAACCTAGTTCTGTCTGAAAAACAATAGGCCAGAATTACGGTTTATGTTACATTAATGACATGTACTATTTTTAATTGCATTGGCCCTCATAAGCATTAGAAAGTATAACCCAAAGTTGATTTGCTTTTGAATAAGGTAGTATCTATCGATCCCATTTTTATCTTATTCTTCCTCCAAGGTACTAAGGATGGAATTCATGGATCACTCCTCCTCCTTTTTATCTTCTCATCAACCCTGTAAGTAGGGTTTCCAGGTCTGGGTTGGAAAATACCTGGAGACTTTGGGGGTGGAGCCAGGAGAAGGTGGGGTTTGGGGAGGGGCCTCAGCAAGGTACAATGCCATAGAGTCCACCCCTCAAAGCAGCCATTTTCTCCAGGGGAGCTGATCTCTGTCAGCTGGAGAACAGTTGTAAAAGCGGGAGATCCCCAGGCCCCACCTGGAGGCTGGCAACCCTACCTGTAAGGTAGGTTAGATTGCAAAGGAATGATTAGTGTAAGGCTATCCAGTGAACTACATGGCTGAGTTATTAAGAAACATTAAGCAGAAAAGTGAAGAAGTATTGGTGAAGAAGTGAAGAAGTGTTGGTTTTATACCCCACTCTTCACTATCTGAAGGAGTCTCAAAGCGACTTACAATCACCTTCCCTTCCTCTTCCCACAACAGACACCCTGTGAGGTAGGTGGGGCTGAGAGAGCTCTGAGAGAACTGTGACTGACCCACGGTCAGCCAGCTGACTGCATGTGGAGGATTGAGGAATCAAACCCGGTTCTCCAGATTAGAGTCCACCGCTCTTAACCACTACACCATAGTTGAATACACATAGTACAACTGATTTCCTGGGCTTTGATTTTTTAAAAAAATCCTACCCAGAAATTCAAAGCTTGATTCATCTTTCCGCAAACCTCCTGCTGCACCAGTTACCTAAGACACAGAAATTAAAGCAGCTCTGCCCTATCTCAAGATCAGCAGACTCAAACAAGCAGCCAAATCAGGAGGGTTATTAAGCCTCTTGCGGGTACCGTGCAGGCTGGAGGGGTGCCTTGCCCTTAATGGGTTATAAGCTATGCAAGCCTAGGTTAAGGTAACTCCTTATGATGTCAACTTATTGTAACTCCACCATTCATATTGCTGAGAAGGTTGTTCACCTGTGTGAGAAGCCACATAGTTACTTTCTACTATAGGATTTTCTACCTTTTGCACTGGAAACAGTTGCTTGCTTACTAGGACTGCCAATTCCAGGTTGGTACATTCCTGGAGTGTTGAGGATGGCAACCAGTGAGGGTGGGATATAATGTCATGGAGTCCACCCTCCAAAGCGGTCATTTTATCTAAGGGAACTGATCTCTGTAGCCAGGAGATCAATTGTAATTCTGGGAGGTCTCCAGGCCCCATCAGGAAGTTGGCGACCTTATTGCTTACTCAGAATATTTATTTCCCTGTTTCTCCCCCAAGGGACCTGAAGCAGCTTACAACAGTCGGGGGAAAAACTGTGATAAAAATCAAAAATGCAGTAGAAAAAGTACAGTTTAAAGAAAAGACGCAAAAAAAATAAATAAACAGCCATCTCTTGGGCTGGGGCTGGATCCAAGGGGTCACCTCATTCAAGGCCACAGAACATGAGCCAGAGGCTAGGGGGCAACAACCGAGTGCTCTTTGGCTCTTGCTCTTCAGCTTGTGCCTGGCCACACCCAAACCTCACACCGGGAAACAGAAAGAGCAAAGAAAAGTTCAGCTCAGATATTACAACTAGCAGGAATCTCCCTCTCACTTTACCTTCCTTGCTCACAGAACCTCTGGCTGTGCCCAAACGCAATACTTTGAGTAGCTTTGCAAAGTCAGCTTCACAGGGAAATGAAGCTCAGATACATTCCCCACTCAGATAATAACTGCGAGTATCACAGGTTAACTTGACTAGCCTCAGAAGATAACTTACTACTTTATACGAACCAGTTCTGTCTATGATATGAATTCTTTCATGTGCGACCGATCATGAGCTTCCTTCATACCAGTCCTTCCTGTCACGCACTACTAATATCCACAGGCGTAGTAAATTCAAACAAGCAGAAGACCTCTGCCCATTTCTTATGGCTCAAAACCAAACCAAAACATCTTGTATGGCTTTTAGGCTTACCTGTTTGTGAGCATGATCGTAAGAATTAATGTGGTTGTCGAACTCATGGTGTTTATGGTACTGCTTGTCACATAATTCACAGTAGAAGTTAGCCTTCACGTCCTCTAGAGCCCTTGCTGCTGCCTTCTCCTTTTCAGCAAAATCCTACAAGGGGAGATACAGAGGAGGGAAATTTTGTGACTAATAATATTGCTGATGTCTTTTTGTTACAATTACCTATGCATTGAGGTATATAGGGGCATCAAAACAAGTGAGGTCGATGAAAAGGTCCAAGTGAGTGGGGCGACTCACTGCACTGAAAATCCACTGCACTGATGTGAAATGGTACTTCAGGTAGACGCTCAGTCTGAAGAAATGGATAGGAGCTTTTTACTGGATGTAAGACTATGTAAGAAGAGTAAAGAAACATTTACCCTCTAGACTAATGAGTCCTCCAGCTTTACTTAAACACCACATTGAGCCAAGGTGCAGTAGAACAAAAACACATTATAATGACAGGAAGTTACAATACTATGAGTGGGCTGTAATCCCTTTATCGGGTAGACTGTATAGTTAAGAGCCGAAAATGAACAACTCTGTACAACCTGTGGTAGAATAAACTAACCCTCTCAGGGGTTTTAATAGGTTTGTTGGTCTTGCTAATGAGTACTGCTTTCAGCAATCATACAGTGAAACAGGGCTCTAGTCGGGGGGGAGCTCTCAGGTACGGAGCTCCGGAAGAGAACCTCTAGGGGGCGGGGCGGTCATGTGGTGAAGCCCCGCCCCCTTCTTTACCCCGCCCTCTGCTTCGATCCTCATTCCGTTTGGGAATGAGGATGAAGCAGGAGGGTAAGTAGCCGGGCCGTCTGACACACTTCCGGTGATGTCAGGGGGTGTGGCCTTCTGTCACTTCCGGTGATGTCAGGGGGCGTGGCATATGCAAATAAGTTATGCTAATGAGTTATGCTAATGAGCTCCGGCAGCTCTTTTTCTACAACAAGACCCCTGCAGTGAAAGTTGAGTTTTTAAAAAAACACAACACACAACATTCCGGGATGAAACAACACGTGTGGAATTACACAACACACAACCTTAGGACTGTGCCCCTTCTTGGAGGAGAAAAAGGTTGCAGCAGTAGTACTTTTGCAAAGATATGAGAGTGCCATGTAAAGGTAGTACACTTCCTTAGTTAATGAATAATATTATTTAAAAATTAGTGGGTACAATCCGGCATAAGTTAGCCATGACTAAATCCCATTGAAGTAAAATTGTATTTATTAATCATGACAGCAATCCTATTCTATTGATTTCAATGGAATTTAGCTGTAATTAGCTTTTGGTCAATTATGCTTGATATTTCTAATGTATGGTGATACTTTCAAATGCATTACCTATTCATATGGCATGAAAATTTAGATACCCATTTTCCAAATATTTGTTTGAGTGAAGGAATATGCTATTTCCATGCAGCCATCCACGCTGTTTTTACTTTTCTCTGCAGCTTTAAGGCTTTCATTGTGGCATCTTTCAGATTTCTGTTGTGGTTCTTCACTTTTAAGGATGCAAGTCTGACAGGATTTAAAGGGAAGTATGTATAGCCCTTAATTGTCCATAAGTCCTGAACCTCAAAATCCCAGAGCCAGCTGTCATATACTGGTTAAAAGCTCTAATCTGGAGAACTGGGTTTGATTCTCCTCCACATGAAGCCTACTGGGTAACCTTGGGCCAGTCACAGTTCTCTCAGAACTCTCTCAGCCCCACTTATCTCACAGGGTGTCTGTTTTGGGGAGAGGGAGGGAAGGTGATGGTAAGCCACTTTGAGACTCAGGGTACAGAAAAGCTACTTTTCTACTCTTCTACAAGGTCTGCCTAGATGGTTTCAATGTGTCCATATATTGCCCATAGTGTACACTTTAAGGTGACTTTCATTTTTAGTGAATATCTCCAGAAGACTTTAAAGTTTCAGAATGGCTCAGGAACAAAACTGAACCCTGAATCTGATCTGAGAACATTTTTTTTTTTTTGCTGGAAGGTCTGAATTCTTGAAAAATTACCAAGGCCACCTCCTCTTGGAAGGGAAATTGAGTCTGCTAGACCTAAATTTTCCATTCGCTTCAAACACTAGCCATTCTAAGTCCTCCTTGTCATTATCTTGTGAAGGTCTGTCTCTCTAGTAGGCAGTAACAGAGCATACCAGAGGTCCACAATGCGGTGACACCCACTGACACCTTTCCTGGCACCCTCCAAGTGCTGTTAAGAGAGATAACAGGGCCAGGTGGGGCTTTCGCTCTGCAGGACTTCTGATTGGCCATTGATCTGATTGTCTGTGAATTTTTAAAAAGTCGCTTTGGCAGTAGCTACTACCACAGCACAAGGATCTTTACTCTATGACTGAAGGTAAACTGTGTTTATGCAAGAAAATAATTTTAAACTTGTTCATTTTAAAAGGCATCCTGTTAAACAGAGCTTCTGCATGAAATGTTGAAGAGCTATTATTAGAGTTATGCATGACCTCACTCCTTGACATGTGGTTGGCTATTGTGGCAGCCATTTGGTGATCACCACTGTGGCAGAATTCCAAAGGCACCTGGAGCACACACTTTGCATGTGGAAAGTCCCGGATTCTCTCCCAGGAATCTCCTGATGAAACACGTTCAGTAGAAACTGCTGGGCAACCCCCCCCTTTCTGCCATTCAGAGCATTTTATGGCAAATCTTTTGCCAATTACAGGCCCCTGCCACATGGGGCGGAAAGGGACGGGCTGAAGCACAGCTTCTGAAAGCCGCACCAAAAAACCCACGCCGCGGTGGGATCACATTGATCCCCTGAGCCGCGGCGCATTCCCTCCCCGGCACGATCAGATGCCGGGGGAAGCTTCGGAGGGGAACGGGAGACTGCCGAACTGCACATGTCTGAGCATGCGCAGTTCAGGCAGGAGCCGGGGATGCGCCGGCAGAAAGACGGGCCGGCGATCCCACGGCTGGCGTTGATGCGGCCGTCGTGGATGAACCCCCTCGGTAGGTGGTTCATTTTTGATGCGTTTCATCGGGGGAAGGGCCGGATCGGGGACGGGTGTGCAACGCTGCCCAGATGTTGCAGTGGGATTGCGCCCGTTTGCTCCGGCCCCGATCCGGCCCACTCCCGGCCCAAAACCCCTCGTGTGGACAGGGCCACAGTATACAATTCTGAACTAGTTGGACCTATTGTCTGACTTGGAAAAGCAGCCTCATTTGTCCATGTTGTGGTTTGAAGTGTTACTGTTGAGAAACAAATTAGTTACCTCATCTGTTTGTGAAAATTAGATCTAACTCTCTGGGTTTCCCAGTACAGTAGGGCCCAGCTAAGATATATGGCATCTTTTTACCAGATAATCTAATATTTTAAAATGGCACCCCTCTCCCTTTGAATAAACTCTTTCCTCCAAACTCTAACAAGCCCTTTATACTTTGTGGTGACTCCTGGGTACTTCTACCTGTTTTGATTATGTACAGACATCTGTCCCAAATGCAAACATTTAGAGCTGACCTATTTGACTACACTTGAGCTCTCTATTAAATGGATGCTGCTCAGGACTGTTTATCCATTAGCTTGATAAAGGTAAGTCCCCCCCCTTCTCCTAATGAAACAGTTAAACTATATTTAATGAGCTGTCCTGAGATTACACAAAAAACCCTGTTAAAGCTACTGATTGCGACTTTTTTTTAAGCTTACACTTCTGCCCTATTGTTTTAATAACATTAATTATTCACAAGCGTCTCTGTGTAATTAAAATGCATAAATTAGAATGTGGATGCAATAGCATTAATTAAGTACAGACACATTCTGTAAAAGTTAAGTGCAGGAGGTATACTTTGTGTATGCAAAATTTGTTGGGGGGGGGAGAAGACTGTGACATGCTGGAAACCATCCAAAATCTAATTGGCCTTTAAAAAAATATTTCACTGACAATGAGCTGTCAATTAAATATTTACAACTTATTCCATTCCACTGAAGATGGGACTCCCAACTGTTTGAGGTGCACAGACTTATAGTGTTCTTTGTGACAAACAACTGGAACTTTCTGAATTAAAGGCATGCTAGTCTTCCGAGTTTACCTTTTCCAGCTGAAATTAATAGACGGTTAGCCTTCTCTATGGATAGTTTTAAAATAGCAACCAATTAGCTCCCATGTGCATTTTAAGATAATCACGTCTACTTCCAGTGCCTGATTGCCTAATTACACTTGTCTGCCATGGGGAAAAGCTATAATTTCTAGCTTGCTTATTGATCTGAGGAAGGTATGGTGATTGTTACATCATGTAGAGTTCCTCGAGGTCAGGATGTTTCTCCCTGCTATGTTGTTAAACCTGATTCTCGTACCAAACAGTGCATAATTCTAGCCTCATTTATATCTACAGTTCATATTTTGGTAAACAAATTCCTATCTGGGTAGCTTATTTATATGGGGCTTTAATTAATGGAGTGTTTGGTAATCCTTATTGCCCTTGCCCTCACAACAACTACCTAGAATATATCACTGTAATTCTTATGCTATGATCCATTCCATACCTGCACAAATTACAGCGTATTCCACTGGAAACCGTTTGGTCCCTTCCCCAACTGACAACCTTCGGCCTGGCACACATAGTTCCAGCTGCACTGACTTTAGTTACTTCATTTATGCCCCACTTTTCTCCACAACATTCTTCCCTCATCAATGCTATCCTCACAACAACTCTGTGAGGTGGGTTAGGCTCAGGGCATGTGAGCTTCCACGGCAGAATGAGGATCGGGATCTCCCAGATCCTAGTCCAGCGCTCCAACCACTACATCGGGCTCTCTCTCTCCAGTCTAGGGTGGATTCTATGGCTGAGTTCAGACTGGCAGTTTGCCCCAATATAGGCACGTGCCAGAAGCGTTTCACAAATGGATTAAAGGGCTGGTTCATATAGGCACAGCTGTCCGGTGTTCCCCAGCCGTACTCAACCCGTCTTGTAACGCTTCCCTCCCGAGTTTAAAACATACCAGGTGAAAGTGGTAGCAAACCCTGGAGAGTGCGTTTATCCCACTTCCTGGAAGTGTGAATGCTGAAAGCCGCAATTGCTGATGAGCATAAGCGCATATCACCGGATTACCAAAAAGAAAGCAGCGCCTTACAGCCATGCCTCCACCAGGGGTGGACCAACAGTGCAAATGCTCCCTTGCGCCTCCTCCCTGGTATGCTCCCGCATCAGTCAGTGCAGTGTGACCTGGAATACCCGGAACAACTTGTTCCGGGACTTTCTTGCCATGACTCCCTAGCGCTTCAAGCTGCCAGTCTGAACTCAGCCTATGTGATGCCAATCTATGCCTTGTATAGCAGCATCACAACTAGTAGCATCTGAGATTTGGTGCATAGGCTACTGGAGGGGAGGAGAAAATTTATCATGTCACTTTTTAAAATAAATGCATTATCACTTCATGCATTAATGACAGCAGATGTCTAGTAGAGTGATACAATCTGACAATAGTACAGCCATGCTATGGTTATCTGTTCTCCTTTCACTGTCTTTAGTCAGTCCCTGATTCCCAAATACATGGATTGTATGGATTCACTGAAGAGCCCATGGGAACTGATAGAGATAAGAGCGTAAGAAAAGGAGACATATGTAAAGGTAATAATTATACATGAATGCATTTAGCCCATGGATGCCTATAACTTCCCCAAAAAGTTGATGTAGAATTTTCATTGCAAAGAAGTACATCCATTGTGCCCTGGGCAGAAGTGCATGCATGTAGAACTAGCTATTGCTTCAGCTGCTTCTTGTAAAAATCCCATTCACAGTTTTCTAACATTTCCTTTTCTGATATAAAGAAAATCAGTGTAACTTAGTTTTCTAGGATATAGCTGTGGGTCCATACAGTCAATTAGAAATCATTTATTGAATCCAAGGGTTATAGAGGTTGTTTAATAGACTGCATAGCCATTAAAGTATGCTGACCTAGACAATACCATGTGCAGTTAGCTTCAGAAATTGATTGCAAGGGTCTTTGGTCTGTTCAAGGGGACTAAGGAGAAAAGTGGGTCACTTGGTATAGCAGCCCTACTGAGGGATATGTTTGCATAATATCAGTGTACCCTAATAAAGAAATCACATCTGGAACAATAATTCTGTAAAGAGCATAGTGCAACTCTCTTTTGTTTCCTCCAGAGGTTTCAGAAATGAAGCTTGTTCCTGGCTGGAAGCAAAGAGGCAGGTTGCTCAGGTGCAGAGCTAGGAATATTATGGACTTCCTCCTGTTTGCACATTATATGCACATAGAATTGTTAGCAGAGCGGTTGGCAACTACTTTGTTTACATGCAGAAACATCATGCACAGGTCAGACCTTATGCTGCCTTAAGCAACCGTGAAGTCCATCACGGGGGCAACATGCTTTGGTTTGACTGCCACCAAAATGCAGCAGGTTCTATTTGTGTGGACTTTCTTCTTCGCTAGGGTCTGATGCAGTTTTAACACATTTTATATGTGACTTATAGCTACGACTGGCAAAATCACATTCCAAAGACAGCCAGTACAGTGTAGTGGCTAACATCCTGGATTTGACATGAATTCAAACCCCCACTCAGTCAAAAGGACACTTGGACACTGGGCCAGTCAGCTGCATCTGCCTTGTGGGGTTGTTGTGAAGGTAAAATGTGAGGAGTAGACTCTGTATACATCAGTGTGTG